CTACTTCAGCAACATACAGCCGTGCCACAGTTTATCATAAAGAGGAATCTTGTTTTTTTTATGTTGTCCTGCTCCACAGTCCAAGTTGTACGTTTTTAAATACTCATGGTGTTTGTGAAACCATTCAGTCTGGTTTTAAATTCATTGTACTAAGACAGAACTTTAAGGAATTTATTTATGATCTTCTCTTGACTGCTGACTCCATTGTTTTGGTTCTTTTAGATTTATCTGCTGCCTTTGACAGTCCATCAAAGCATTCTTCTATTAAATCTCTGACAAATCCCCGCTCTTAAAAGCTCTGTTTGGTTTGAATCTCATGTCAGATGGTTCTTATTCTGAGTCTTTGAGGGAGTACTCTTTTTGCCCACAACTGATTTGTTAGAGAACCAGAAGGCTCTATTATGAGTCCTATTCAAATTTCTTTATATATTCTGCATTTGGATTCTATGTTTACAAAGTATATTTTCTTTTCTTGTTATGCTGCTGATATCGAAATGTGTTCCATTTTAATCCCGATGTCTGAACCACTGCGGCCAGCGCTTAACAGTTAATTGACACGTCACAGACTGGCTGACTCAGGACTGTCTGACAGTGAACGAAAATAAAACCAAAACTGTGTTTACTGATTGTACCCCTCTCTAATGTTCTATGTGATATTCTTTGCTCTCTTGATCCTCAATGCTGAATTTGGAGTGCTTTTGGACACAGTTTTTAGGACCTGGTTTAATCAATTATGGCCATATTTTACCTAAACACCATAAAACTCAACATGTCACAGCAGCTCATTATATTTTGAATTAAAACATCTCTCCATCACCTGCAGTTATACCAATGTCTACTTTTCTTTTAGAGAATGACTTAAAAATGAAGAGTAGATAGAAAGATATTTTTCTTTACTTGCAAGGACATTAAATGTAGCTTATAAAACATTATGCTGAGACTCTAAATGACAAGCCGAGTCTGTCTACTGCTGAATTTCACCACTCTCAGCCTGTTGCTGAAGGGTGAGGCAATCTTAAAGCAAAGATCATGCATACACTGTGTTTCATAACCCTGTGGCAAGAGATCGCCAATAAATGGCAATTTCCTATGTATGATGGGACAAGGCTACAGTAAAGCTATACAGTTGGATACTTGGGAGGTGCCTGGGGGCTACCACCATCAACATATTTGCTCATAACCCCTGGTGTCAAAAGTCTGGCTTTGGTTTTTAGAATGAAAATACAAAAATATCATCATTAAAACTGAAAAACGGAATTCTTTGTTGCATTTTCTCCTACTTGTTCAAATGTTCTGCATTCTGTCATTTCATTTGAAGTAATTTAAATTTTCTATGTTTTTTTTTTATTGCGATAGACCTGTGAAGGTAGTTCATATTTGAATTTTGTAGGAAAATAACTTTATAGGAACAGGCTAAGCCAACACTTAAAGCTACAGCGGGTAATTTTCAGCAGAATCTAACGGTCACACTGCAGCCTTCAGCAACACAGGCTGCAACTAACAATTATTTTGAAAATCGATTAATCTGTCGATTATTTTTTCTATTAATCGATTACTAAATAAGATTATTGAATGATTAATCCAATACTAAATTAGTTCATGATTATTTCAATAATCGAATAATCACAATGAATCCAATTGTTTCAGCCTTTGTTGCAACAGAGAAGTGGTCAAAATACATTTAAAAAAATATTGTTTTCAAACGAATTAGAAGTCTGAAAAGCAATATATTTTAATATTTAGCAATCCTGAGTAGAACTATATTTCGTTGCGGTCGCAGTTCTAGTTTCACATCTTTTTTGCTATGGCTTCACCAGCATTGCACATAGAAAGATAAAAATGTTTCTTATTCTTACTTGTAAAATGATTAAAGCTCTGTATCAGGCATCCCAAAAGTCGGTCCCCGAGGGCCGCTGTCCTGCAGGTTTTAGAGGTTTCTCTGCTTCAGCACATCTGATTCTGATGAATCCAGTTCAGCAAAAGCCTGTTAATAAACTATCAATGTAAATCAGCTGTGCTGAAGCAGGGAAACCTCTAAAACCTGCAGGATAGCGGCCCTCAAGGACAGAATTTGGGGATGCGTGCTCTATATGAATGAAGAGTGACATACACATCAGTTTTTATAGCTTGCCACCATATCAACTGGATTTGGACTTTGACTAGACCATTCTAATATGTCAATATACTTTTAGATAAACCATTCCGATGTAGCTCTAGCTAAAGTTTCAGCGTTGTTCTACTGCTAGAGAACGATCCCCAGTCTTACGTCCTTTGCAGCCCATAACCGCTTTCTTCAAGGATTGTTCTACATTTACCTCACTCAATCTTCCAATTATCTCAGAGATCTGACAAACAAGCTCATGGCATGATGCGACAACCACAACGGTTCATGTTGAGGTTGGTGCTTTCAAGATATGAAGAATGTATCGCATCTGTCACAATTTAAGCTTTAAAGTAAAAAAGATTTTTTTTAATTTTTTAAGTTTATTTTTTTCTCTCTACATGTCACACTTTAATTGATCATGCAACTTTGATCATGCAACCCACAAATGATCATCCAGGTCCCCCACATTATGATGCTGTCAGTGGCATGTTTCACGATAGAAATGGTTAAAGGATGTGTAACATTAGCTTTTTCTTTAGCTAAACTTGGATCTCATCAGACCAGAACACTTTTTTCTCTTTTTTTTTCAGCATCTCCACCATTGCTTGCGACACATTCTAGGAAGACTTAAAAAAAAAAAATCTACTGATAAATTTCAGGAGCTATTTATAATTAAAAAAAGCATGAACCAGCAGAAAATGTTCTTTACATTTTGCACCAGAAATAACAGCTGCTTTCAATTCACATCAATGCAATAAATAATAATAATAATAATAAAAATAATTTCAATAATCGGTAAACTAAATCATGATTTTACTGTAAAAAAAAACAAAAAGAAGAAAAGTAAACCAATAATGTAAATGTCTCACACTGATGCTCTAAATAAACTGGTGCTTGTCGTGGGTTGCAGCCGTCTGTGTGTGCAGTAGCTGTGCTGCTGAGAGGAAAACATTATTGTGTGTGGGTGTGTGGGCAGTTTTCAGTACAGTCTTAACTCCCCAATGCAAACTGAATCACACATTGTAAAGAGAAAGCCCAGGCATTAAGCAGCAAAATCTGTGACATCACTACCGGACATAGGAGCCCTGTTCTCTGCATAATAGAACTATTGAAGCCCCCCTCACTGCCATCGCTGTCCACGGTGCACCAGTCTCTGGCAGTAAATCCCTGTGTGAAACCATCACCTGTTGCAACTTAGCGTCTAGAAGCTCCTGTGGGCGTTTTGGAGGACCATTTAGCAAATGAGCAACGTGGTACAGTAGATGGACATAGAGCATATAGTGCTGTCAGAAATTATTTACCTCCTTACAGATTCTGGAGGGTTTTTGTTCCATTAATTCTTTTAGATAATATGAAAAACTTCAATAGCAGAAAAAGAGAACTGCAGTGACTAAAAAACGTTTCATTTAATAAAAAATTTTATCTTTTAATGAAGAGAAAGCAATCTGTTAAAAAAGAAAAGAAGAATTGTCCCCAACTTTGTTCAATCATGACTTGACAATTTGCCCAATCAGATTTTTGGATACCAAAGTTCATTTCGACAAGCCACTACTATCAGAAGTTTGAAGAAGATACTATAGACAGCATGAAGTAGGCTGAAAATAACCACAGTTTCTACCATCGAATCTAGTCTGTACTGTATCAGACTAGAATGGCTTATAAGGCCACTTCTAAGGATTTGGGGTTTTCAGCAGTGGATGGCCAACCAGAATTACTCCAAGAGAGCATTGATGACTCATCCAGGAGGAAACAAAAAGAAAACCCAGAAAGGCATCTAAAGCACTGCAGGCCTCAGCTCAGCTTGGATCAGCTAACCGTGCCGAGCTTGATTCCTTACGTCCGTTTACACATCGGCTAGCACGGTTCCTTGCCTCCTAATGACGATCTGCGGTACTACTGCTCTCTGGGATTGAAGGACGAAATAGGGAAAATCAAAATGGTGGCGCCCGTAACATTCAGGAAGTTATGTTTGGCTATAACTGTGATATGTCGTTGTTTGCAGAGAGTCAGGCAAAGAAGGCCTTTGGTGAATTTACTTGACAGAGTCGGCTTTTGGGAAGTGGATATAACAAACGATGGTCTAATCGGCGCTTACAGACGCAGCAAACAACGACAAAAGTTGAGGTTCATCACACTGCTAAGCAGAATCATCACTGGAAATCGTGTGGAAAGGTAGGGAAGCTACTATTTTTATAAAAGTCTGAAATTTTCTTCTTCTGTTTTATGGCGGTTGGCAAGCAGCTTACTGATGTGCATTACCGGCAACTACAAGGAAGCTGACTGTAAGGAGATGAAACAGTCTGCCCATGCTCTCTTCGTTATCTGAGAACCAAGCCTCAACTGAACCGCGCCGAGTCCTAGTGATGAACTAGTACCAGTCTAGCGCGGTTCGGCTCAGTTTGCGTGCCATTTACACTCAACAGTTATCTCGGTTGCCGTGCTCGGACCGATCTCGGCACGGTTTGAAAAGAATAGTTAAATGGGGCAAACGATTCAACAACAACAACAAAAAAAGAAACTTGATAAAAAATAAATAAACAAATAAATAAATAGAGGAAAAAGGACCCAGATGGCTTGTTTTTATGATGGAACTATGAATTCTATAGTCGAGCAGACATTCCTTGAAAAGAACATTGTATGTGACCTTTAAGTTTGATTTTTTTTTTATCAGAAGAACAGTGGTCTATATCTAAGCAAGAAAATGAAGGTTTTGAAGTGGCTTAGTCAAAGTCTGGACTCAGATATTACTGTGATAAAGCCAATTTTATATTAAGGTCTGCTGATGTACTCACACATTTAAAAAGAGGACATAACATCTCAGTGGAGATTAATAGTTTCTCCCAGCACTGTTGTGACTGTAAAGCAGATAGTAAACCATAAGCAAAATAAACTGTACCTGGCCAGCTGTGTCATACAGTCCCAGCAAGTACTGCTTCCCTCCAACGTTGACACTCACTGCAAGAACATGGGAAAGGAGCAGAAAGGTGAGGGTGGGGTGAGGAGACAGGGATCAGAGGGACTGAGGGGTGGTGGTCTCAGGGACTTCCAGCTATGAGGAAGGCAAACAAGTGGTTTTGATTATTGCAACAGATGCAATGCAGTTGCAGAAAGAGTGAGAGAAAAGTGAAGGGAGGGAATCCACGTCTCTCTTCTCCTCTTTTTCCATTTCTAATGGGATAATTATCACCAAACAAAGCAAAGCAGCAGCTCAGTGATGTCATGGTTCGTGAGATGTAACCCTACCTGCATAATGATCAAACACCGTGGGCACATACTCCTCTGGAAAGGCGTCGTTGGCATAGCTCATCAGGAGACACGTTTTACCCACCGCACCGTCTCCAACCACGACGCATTTCAGCATGATAGAACCGGTTCCGTTCGCCATGGTTCGGACCCAAACAGCATCCTCTCCTGGACGCCCTGCTGTGCCGACCTCCTCCCGGTGCTGCTGGGTGGGGATCCCCGCACCGCGGCGGGCATCAGCAGCCTTGGAGGCGGACTGCGCGCTGCACCGTGTCGGGCTGGAGCAGCATCTCTGTCTCCCTCCTGCCAAACACCGGTTCCTTTCCTCCCAGATCAAAGCTCAACTTTAACCCCTTTGGTTTTTCTACTGGATCCCCCAGTCAAAGCAGCAAAGGGTTTCCTTTGAAGCTGAGGAGGGATCCACCGTGTCCGCTTCCCTCCGCGGTGTGTCCTGCTCCCCTGACGCTCCCCGGCGCACTGAGCCTCCTCTTCCTCCTTCTCCTCCTCCTCCTCCTCCGCTGCTGCTGCTGCTGGACAGGCTGGCTGGAGAGGCGGAGCCTGGCTTTTAAAAGCAAGAAGTAGTCTGCAGTCCCCCTGCTGGGTCAGAGGTTAAAGGATTGGGAAAAAATAGCCCACAACATTAAACATATGGAGGAAAAAACAAACAAAAAAAAAACTTCTTTTTCTGAAGAAGAAGATCTGTTCATTAAGGGATTAAGAAGTAGTGAATTGAACATGACAGAAATGTATTTGGAAATATTGTATTAAACCACTCTGATCATAGAGAGCAGAGTTGTCCAACCATGCATCCATCCATTCATCCATCCATCCATCAATCCATCCATCCAATCGTCCATCCATCCATCCATCCATCCATCCATCCATCCATCCATCCATCCATCCATCCA